TCACAGGCTTTCTYTGGCTAAACTTCAACGAATTGTACTACAGTTTAATTGAAAAGCAGCATTTGCACAGGCATTTACATCTGAAGGCAGAAATTCTGGCATTGTACCATGTGGCGCAGTGGCAGCAAGAATTCCCCCAAATTCAACTTTTTACACGTATTTTTTTCCAATTGAAGAGGTATTTCAAAGAGCTGATTCTCAACTGAGGTACTGAGCAAAATCCGAGATATTCAGTAACAAAAGGTTTATTTAATAACCTCATTAGTTTTTAAAATGTATTACAGAGTGAAGTCCGACCTTAGTGCAATGGAGATGGACACCAGATGTGTGGCTACATTAAAYGTGTAGCTACAAAACCAACCAAAAAGAAAGTGTGTAGCAGCAAARCTAATAGGCAAGTACGTCCTTGTTCTGCTTCTTTAATGCAATTACAGGCCACGTTAGGGACCAAATCAAGACTAGTTTCTTTTGCCGGTTTGAATATTTGCAGGTTCGGATCCATTTGCAGACACAGCTCCCACCGAGGTCCTTGGAGACACACATTTGCAGCTGAAATAAGCTGAAGCTGAATCTACAACTTGGTTGAAGCAAACTCTTAGGCCTAAAACCATTTAAGTCCAAACTCATCAGTGCATCTGTTTTGACCTGTTCCTTTGTGGTGAGGGGGGTAGAATAAAAACATCAGTGATAGATGACTCTCTATATGACTGTAGGGATGCTCCAACAGGATGGTGAGAGTAGAAGGGCTGGGGGGAAAAGCAACCTCGTTCTCTCTGAGGAGCCAGTAAGCTACAGTAGCAGCGACAGACAGCATCCARAGAGAAGAATGTCACATTTATCACATGCAAACACTTTGCCTTTTTTTGCAACTACAGTAAAGCAGGGTTGAGCTATGCAGACATACTTCCCACATCCGATGACCTCGATGGGAGATCCATAGCAAATCTTAGGGCAGAACCTGCTACACAAAAGACATGTTAAAGACAGAAGCACTGTCATGCAGAACAAGCTCTTGGAGTAGAAGAAAAGGACTCTGCATTTGGCCAAAGAGYGGGGTCATGCACTGAGGGTGCTTTGTATTCTGGGAAGGATGTGGGAGGATGACTCTCCAGGCTCATGCAAGGCAGAGGAATATAGAATTTAGGGAAAGTGATTCTAAGAGATTCTGAGCACTCTCTCATCTGTTAGCCAAATCCAGAATATGAAGGTTTCTGCAGAAGAGAACATTTATCTTTACTTCTGGTAACATTTTCCTCTAATTCAGAGGAAAATCGGAGCAACATTCCTTTGTTTGTTAACCCCAACATTGCTCAAAAACCTCCTTCTGCAGTCCAGACTCAAAGTCAATTCGAATCTAAGTACAAGCAAATCAGATATCCATCATGTGGTATGCTCCGATAGCAGGACCCAGTGGAACAGGTGAAGAAAACATTGACAAACGTGTTTTCAGCAGAATGTTTTCGATCCATAGTCATAAAGGATAACTCCCAAGTCTGAAAATGAAAAACATTTTTCCCTGTACACTTGTTTTTACAAGAAACATTGGGGAGAATTGATTTATATATTTTTATTGCATTAACTTCTATCTCTTGACACTTCCAATGTATGTTTAACTGTTTTCTATGGAAGATTGGCAGAAATAGGACCTGAATACTTTTACTGACAATATTTGTGTTAGAATTGGAACTCAGAAGCTCACCAGCAACACAAGGAGAACAGGTTAATAATAAAAAGGAACTTAGAGCCTCAGACCTTTCAATTAAAATCAACAGCACATACCTAAACTGCTGTTTGTTACATTTTCACTTCTATTTCAAGTTATTTAAAAATAAGAAATAATTAGCAAAAAATCTGCCAAATGTCATTAAGAATTTTCACATATTTAACATTGTCAACAGGCCTTCACAGCCCTCGGTCCAAACACTTCTATACTGTTTAACCATTTTACCCATGGAGGTGAGTTTGACTGCATTTGCCTGGCAAAGCCAATGTGAAGAAGTAAAGGGAAATCAAATGGGAGGAAGAAGGGTGGAATAAGCATGGCATTACCCTTAACAATGACAATTTTCACTAAATCAGTATTAAAGTTAGTATTTTCTGTTTTCTTTATTCTTATGAAGGAAAGTAGGGAAAGTCTTGGAAAAATTCCTAGTGATTAGTAATGTCACATGCACTCTTTACMATTTTTGTTCTGTTTTTAAATCTGCAGATCATTTGAAAACTCAGGAAGCCATAGCCAACTTTCACCCCATTTGTAAAAAATGCAAATTTGCAAAATACATCTTCCATGTTTGGACCCAGCAGAAGTTTGATGAAATGAGTAGGGTGGGATCCAGTGGACTGGCAGACCCCCAAACACAAGTATCCCAACACAGGCTAAGTGCAGGATTCAGCTGCCTGAGGATAAGTAAGGCACCTATCACCACTGAGGCACTTGGGTTGGGGAGAAGTGTCCAGACCCAAGGTAACTTCAGGAAGATTTGGTTCTTCTCAGACCCTCCATCATGCCAGTCAGCCTGCAAGGATGCCTTTGGTGCCCAGAGATATCTCTAGAGCCTATGTTTAAGCAACTAAGCATGTCTGCATTCCTGTTATAGGCAATGGAGATCCAAGGCTTCATTCAGCTGCTTACATGTCAGCATCTAAAGCAGTGTGAGAACTCCCAACGTTCTGAGACACCTGCCCACAGCTGGCAGATATGGCACAGGACATATGGGAATTGATGCATTTCCAGAAGGATACCCAGAAACCAGGAAGGACATTCCACAGCCTCTGAAGTGGCACTTGATGGTCACGGAATTAGATGAGCTCTTAGTGGATGGATTCAAAGGGGATTGAATTCTAGAGATTCATTGAACCAGCCATCAGCTCTCTGCTTAGGGTCAGCCTAAGGAGACTCACAGTGCTAGTTCAGCTGTCTTGCACACAGTACCATTTGAGAAGTCATAGGTTAGCCCATCTTGTCTCCAGCTGCTGTTCCTGGGGCGCATCACAGTCTTGTAGATTATATGCCAGGTTGGCCAGCGCTGTCTGAACATCTCACACCACAGAAGTTATACTTCGGGGATAACTTACACAAGTTTCCCCCTCCCCCACCCCCAGCTCTACTGTGAATTAAAATATTTTGTCCATATGTAGACAMCAACATGCATGAGTCTTCATCTTGAATTCTCATTGAATTCAAGCCTTGAATTGAATGCATGTATGAGTCTCAATCTTGAATTGAACTGTAGGCCAAAAGCTGCACAAGTGCTGGAAAAAATTTCGTTATTTTCAGAATTTCTCTTTGAGCCCTGCATCTGTTTATAGATAAATTTAAGTATTTTATTTGTATTGATAAATACAACAACCCAACAAAATCCCACGGCAGATGTTGCATGAAGGTAAGAATGAAAATGTTCCCCAAACAGGTAAATATTGGTGCATACGTATATTGAGCTTTTAGATATGCCTTCCAAGACTCACTTTCTTTTGCGTTGTTTTGAAATGCTCCYATTGTTTTACCAAGAAAGGTTTCTGTTTATCATCTAGGGCTGAACTAGAAAACATCAAGCTGCTCACATTAACATATGCAAATTTTTGATTTATTATCACTCCCCTGTGTCATCTATTTTCTGTGCCACGGATGTGCAATTAACTCCATGTAGTCAGGACCATCTGCCAATGCCTACACAGGACATGACTGCAGTGTCACAAAAGCAGAAGAACAAATTTTCTGATCACCAATATTGTCTTGCACTTCAGGGAAGCTGGCTGGCTCTACAGGAGGAAAAGATTCTTATAAGAGCAGCTTGAACTCCAGACAGTTCCCGGTACAAGCAGTGCCAGTGCAGGCAGAGTGAAACCAGAGCAGTGACCTCACATCTGAGCAGTGTGGCTGCCAGGATGACATCATACCCTGTAAGCACCGGGACATACAGGAGAACCACTCCTAGCTGTGGAGCTGCAGATGAGTAAAATCAAGAGCAAAAGGTGACTCCGTGTTTGTTTAAAGCTTGCTTTCCTTTCTTTAGTTTATGTAAGACTTTCTCTCTTTCCCCTTTCACCAGTTTTGAGCATTCAAGCCATACAAGCAGACCCAGACCTAGTCGAAACAAAGACTTCCAGTCTTGTTCCAGACTGCATCCACTCTTCACTGACACCCAATATCACATCAATTCTCTTTTCAGATAGATCAGAAGGCTTGATTACCCTGCCGCTTTGTTGTTTTTGAGTATCAAAAGCTATTACTATTCTATAATTATGTTTATATTTGACAGAAATTTGAAATTTCATACATTTGTAAAAATTTAGATGCCTCACTCGGAATAATAGCTTATGATGCTTCCTTCTTCCAAATGCACTAAGTAACTTGTATTAATGCAAAAGTTGTATATAATTCTAGCAACTATTTCAAAATGCATTAAAATTATTTGACATTTTGGAACATTTTAACTTTAAGTCAGAGGTGGTTTTTCAGTTAGAGGTGGTATTTTCCCCTCCAGAGAATGTTTTCACACATAATAGGAAGATAGGGGGTTACACTGCTTATAGGGATTTATTACATTTGCTCACTTCTTGACAATACATTCTGTATCTGTCATACATTTTGATAAATGCCCGATGAATTTTAAATTAAACCACATTTGGGAAATCAATTTCTGTCTGTCTCAATAAATCACAACATTCTAGCTGTAAYGTCTGGATGATGGAAGTGAGTTGGGTCTTATTATGCGTCCCTAAGGCTCACGAATTCTCTTATCAGCCTTGAATGTTTTTAGGGTGGATGTTATCTAGAAGAACAAATACATGACTCTGAGAAAGGTTAAAGGAAGGTGAACAATTTTAAACAGGCTGTCACTAAAGGCACACATGAAGTAAGGCAGATATGGTAAGAGCAGCACATAGCAATTCAATGATTTACTTGTTGTGCCAAAGCCAAATCCTGGCTCCAAATCAATATTTTGCAATGGATTAGACAATGTGGCAGGAACAGAGATTGAAGTCTGCCTTAACCCAACATGGGTATGAAGCGTGCTTAGTTAATATCAGCTGAAATATTGTCCATTAACACAGGGAAACCACATACACACATGAAAATAAAAAATTTACTAACTTTATTCTGTGTTAAATCAGATACTGCAGAGACAGCAGAGACATGGCAAATCTCCACTATCATTAGAACAGAGTTTTGAAATATAGGCACTATTTGATGAAAGAGAAAGAAGTGTTAGAGATGACAGATCATCAAAATTTTAAATYGGCATAAATAAAAATGAATTTTTGGGGATCAAAATCACTTTGGGAATGGCTGCCTAAAGTGGGYATTTAGAATATAAAAGGGGCTGGTGACAAAGCCTTAGGCTGTGTCTGAGTGAGCCACCAGCTGAGATTAGGGTTAAGTATGTGCATGGCTGAGAGCCACCATTTCCCATTTGCATTGCTGGCCTTAGCCTTCCTGTGAGCAGCCCAGGATCAAAGTCTCCTCTAGATGCTTAGGAAAATGAGGATTTGYGATTTTTTCCCAGTGTCCTGGATGGTAATACTCTGAACCTCACCTATACTTCATTCATGGACAACATGGACAWGACCTCCAATGTGTGCTGAGGCATCATGAGCTTGCACTTCCCCTCTAGAGGCTCCCGGGGCTGAGGAATTCTGACAGCAGCCTGCAAAGGCAGCTGAAGAGGTCACAATAGGGATGATGAGTCGGTCTGGTCTTCAGAAGGCAGATCCAACAGCCACTTATCCAATTGACAGACATGCACACAGAACTGGATTGAGATGCTGAGTGTGACAATAGTGTAACAGAGTTCCAGAATGGAAAAGAATGAAAGGGTTAATTTGCTATGACTTAAGAAGAAACTGCTGCTGTTAAAGACAGACTTTGAACTTGACCAAACGTTACTTGAAAATTGTTAAAGTTGTCTTAAAACATCTAAGACAGATATGCAAATACGTGGAATCACTAAGCATGAATACTTTCCATAAAAACATTTTGATTAGGCAACAGTACTTCTCACTTCAAAGTTAGAAGTTCGAAACACAATTGAAGTTGGTGAGTTTACTTTATCTGTATACATTTTTCATGAGCTTCTGAGAGCACTGTGATAAAGTGACACTGCAGACAAATGGAATTGCGCTTTTTGGCCACATCCTGCTAACACTGTCTCAGCAGTCTCATTAGAAACAGAAAGARTGGGAATGCACTACAGAGGAGAATTGAGGAAACCAGGGCCTATAGATTTCAACTTTTAAACTGAAACACATTTTCTATGATGACACAAGAAACACAGAAACAGATGTGTGAGATTYTGATTGTGTCATGAAAACACCCTGATGCATAACAGATCCAAAACAAGAGTGGGCGATCTGAAATGCTCACACTGTGCATCAAACTGATGCAGGGAAGTTAGAAGYTAAGGGATAACTTGTTAGAAACTGCTTGCTAAACAGTATATATTGCTAACTGCTTGCTAGACAGTGTATATTGCTTACTTAACATTTATTGTGTTTGTCAAAGCAGAATGAGAAGTAAAAGATTATTGACAAAAGCAGGGACTGAGACCCAGCTTGTGTTCATGGACCCCCTATGCTGGCTAAAACCAGAGATGTTGCTTGGACTTGGGCCAGGGACTGAGAGAGCATGYGCAAGAAAGGTGAAAAGTTCAAAACAACAGGATGAGTATTTTACTTCCTCCCAAGACCCCCGGAGCCCACTACCAAATAACACTGCACAGGCGTGAGCACATGGAAATGCCTTTTGAATTCTTATAATATGAMACTGRGATAGGTCATGCATATGTATAGGTGAATTTCGAAACTCGGTGAATGTAACATGTAACCAGATAYATACCAARCAATACCGTGCTGGGGGTGTGCACGGCTTTGAGGACTACCTCCAGTACACCCRGCGCTGCAATAAACATACCTACTTCRCAACTTGAAATTATRTAAGTTGCGGAGTCTTGCCCAGATCATTTTTGGATCATTTTGGCGAGCCAGGTACGAGAACTTCTGTCCGGTGCGGGGGCTGGYCAGAATCAGGACTCTTTGGCGCRCCCCAGGTCTTTTTCCCTGGAAGAACTCTGCTTCCGGTACGTCCACTGCACGCACAGACAAATACCCACTGGCACTTCATAGGAACGGTATGTTTATCAATCAGTAAGCCTACAAGGCGTATGCATAGCCAGGGTGGTGGTAAGACACCAGGGACGCCTGGTTAAGGCTTGCAAGTGCCGGCTGATTGCCAGCCAGGAAAGGATTTTGTAAGATCTGCCAAGTGGAAGTTCTGGAAGTTCTGCTGCCATCCAAGTATAGGCCTGCCAGTGACTGTATAGGAYGCAGGAGAAAGGGTGGGCAGAACCTGTTTGTGTGTTTGCATAGAGCTCCCAGACTTAGTGGGTGTGTGTGTGTAAGACGGGTTCGGGGGTAGACCCAGATCCTGGAAACGAAGCACGGACTGAAACCAGGAATTGATGCTGCCCAAGAGCCCAGATTCAGGAAGTAAATGAGTTACTTCATTAGTGTATTGTGTAATGTGCGTTTGCTGTGACCGTGTGTTGTGTATGCTGTGCATGATAATTTAAGCTGCAGTGGTTAAATAGGGAGGAGAGAAAAATGGGAAGGGAACACTAACCCAGGGACACCTCCCGCTCCAGTAGTTTTACCCGAGGAGATAAAAGGCACACAAAAAGTGGTTAATATAATACAGGTGATCTGGAGTGAGTAATATAACACTGGAATAAAATGGGAAGTAGCCAGGGTAAAGAAATAATGGCAAAACCCCCCCTTAGATGTACATTAGTACACTGGAAAGAAATAGTCAGAAAAGGAGAAATGGAAAATAAGAGAATTTTTATTAAATATTGCAATAATTGGTGGTCTTTATATAAATTAGATAATGGGGTGAAATGGCTACTTTTTGGATCTTTAGATTATAAAACCCTCCTGCAGTTAATGCTTTTCTTGAGGAGAAAGTGGGATGAGGTCTCTTATGCAGACATGTTTTATACTTCCGAAACCACCCTGAGTGGCAGAGAGACTGTGTGATTGTGCTGCCACAGGACCCCATGATACTGGCTTTGGAAAGAGAAAATAAARCTACTAAAAGCAGACTTAAGAGGTGCTGTTCAGCACTCAGTATAGGTCAAAGATGTACTAAACTACACAAGGTTCATCAGGCAGCAACACAGGAACAAGAATTAACTGATTTTCTTAAGCCCCCCCTAGGAAGCGAGAGGATGAGGCAAACTGGGAGGACACGCCGTCTCCAGCAGGGAGCCCGGTCTGTGCCAGAAGATGGGGGAAGCAGGGGCAGGTCCTGCACGCACCCCTACGAGAGGCAGTAGGGCCTGAGGGCAATACAATGCTGATCAAGGTACCTTTTTCTACTATTGACATAGAAGCTTGGAAACAGATTGCAAAAGATTAACCACATAATCCTGATTGGAATGATATTCAGTTGTTATTGGAAGCTGTAACAGAAATTGAAAAACAATTAATTTTGAAAACAGCACAGGATTTGGCTGAAGACTATTATAAAGCACGACAGGAGGATCACAAAGAATATTTGCCACTCCAGGACCCGMAATGGGATCCAAATAGAACAGCTGAAATGGCTAAACTATGGGTGTATCAGGAGTGGATAATAAAAGCCATGGAAAAGGCAATTCCTAAAACCATTAATCGATCTGCACTGTATGCAAACAGGGCCCCTCCGAGTCTCCAACTGACTTTCTGGAAAAATTAAAAGATGCTATACACAGAAGCACAACACYGRACCCTGGGTCAGAGGTGGGGATAAAACAGCTAGTGTCTCTCTTTTTGGGCCAATCACAGTGGGACATTAGATGCAAACTCCAGAAACTGCGTTCAACTGAGAGTAGGAACTTGGAGGTATTATTAGATGAGGCATGGAGGGTGTACAGTAACAGGRAGGCAAAATATAAAGAGGGGGTCAAGAAGTTAGTGACATTGGTGGGAAAGAATGGAGAAGGAAATAACCAGAAAGGGAGTCAGAAGCAAGRARAAAACAAACTGCACAAAAAACAGTTTGCATGCTGCAGGAAATTCGGGCATTGGAAGAATGAATGTCCAGAGAGGAAGAATACACATCCCAATAAGAGATGGGATAATTGTGAGGAGAAAGAAATTGCACATGTGAGGGAAGACTGAAGAGGACCAGGGGATTCCAACCTAGCAAATCTGGTTATAGTAAAACTAGGGGAAAAGGAGAAAGAAGTAGAATTTCTGGTAGATACAGGGGCAACTTATTTGGTTTTTCTGATGCCTGTGGGGGATGATTATATCATGGTAAAAGGGGCCACTGGTCACTCTGAAAAAGATTATTTTTGTAAACCTTTGAAGTATAAACTTGGGAAACAATGGGGAATTCATAAGTTTTTATATATGCTCAATTCCCAAAAAGCACTCTTAAGTAGGGATTTATTGGAATAATTACAAGCAACCATTGTGTTTAAAAATGGGGAAATTACTCTGGAGGTGAATGATCAACAATATGTAGAAATATTAAGTTTAATATTGATAACCCCTGAGACCGAAGAAGGAATTAGTGAGGAAATAACAAATCAGGTATTTCCTGGGGTTTGGGCTACTGATGTTCCMGGGAGAGCTAAGAATGCACCTCCCATACAAATTAAACTCAAAGAGGGAAAACAGCCAGTTAGAGTTAAACAATATCCTTTAAGAAAATAAGATAGAGAAGGAGTTAGCCCAGTAATAGAAAACTTTTTGCAGCTAGGATTATTGAAAGAATGCCAGTCTGATTTTAATACCCCTATACTACCCATTCACAAACCTGATGGATCATAGAGGGTAGTACAGGATTTAAGGGCTGTAAATAACATTACAGAGGACCTCTACCCTGTAGTGGCAAATCCATATACATTACTAACTAAACTAACACCRGAGTTAACTTGGTTTACTGTTCTAGATTTGAAAGATGCCTTCTTTTGCCTCCCTCTCCACGAAGCCAGCCAGAAAATATTTGCTTTTGAATGGGAAAGCCCTAAAAGTGGGCCTAAAACCCAGCTCACCTGGACAGTGTTGCYTCAAGGGTTCAAAAATTGTCCTACCATATTCAGAGGTCAACTTGCTAAGGACTTAGAATCCTGGGAGGTCCCAGCATCAGAAGGAAAACTGTTGCAGTATGTGGATGACCTCTTAATATCTACCCAGACCAAAGAGGCTTGTCTTACCTGGATGGTAAGTCTGCTAAATTTCCTAGGAGTTTGGGGCAGGATCGCAAGGAAGCCATCTGCCAGAGCCTGAATCCTCAGACTGTGAAAGAACTCAGGACATTCTTGGGAATGACGGGCTGGTCCAGACTGTGGGTTTATAATTACGGTTTACTTGTAAAGCCCCTATATGCTCTCATAAGCACGGAACAGAGGGATCTCCAGTGTACAAAAGAAGCCACAAAGGCCTTTGAGCAGCTAAAGAATGCCATCATGTCAGCTCCAGCTCTAGGACTTCCAGACGTGAGTAAACCATTCTTTCTGTTCTCCCATGAGAAACAGGGAATTGCCTGGGGAATATTAGCACAAGACCTGGGTCCGACAGTTGCTTATTTCTCTAAGCAACTAGATACAGCAGCCAAAGGATGGCCGGGGTGCCTCAGGGCTGTTGCAGCAGTCGTGATGAACATTCAGGAGGCACGGAAGTTTACACTGGGCCAGATGACAGTACTAGTGTCACACACAATGTCCGCAGTGCTGGAAATGAAAGTCAGCCACTGGCTTTCCCCACAGAGGTTCTTGAAATACCAAGCCATCATGGTGGAACAAGATGATGTAGAAATAGTGGTGACCAACATTGTCAACCCAGCTTCTTTCCTCAGCYGAAATGAAGGAGAGCCGGYACACCACRATTGTCTGGAGACCATTGAAGCTACATACTCCAGTTGTTGGGATCTGAAGGATACCCCTTTAGATGATGCAGAAACTTGGTTCACTGATGGGAGCAGCTACATTATTAGTGGAAAGTGACACGCTGGATACGCAGTTACTACCTGCAAAAGGGTAATAGAATATGGACCTTTGCCAACAAATACTTCTGCACAGAAAGCTGAGATAATTGCTCTGACATGTGCCCTGGAAATGGCAGAAGAAAAAAAACATCTATACAGACTTGAAGTATGCATTTGGGGTTGTACAKGCACACAGAGCCATTTGGAAAGAAAGGGGACTGTTGAACTCACAAGGAAAAACATCAAACATTCACAAGAAATATTACAGCTGTTGGAAACAATCCAGCTACCTGAGAAGGTGGCAATCATGCACATTAAGGCACACCAAAAGGTGAGCTCTGAATTGGAGGAAGGAAACAAGCTGTGGACAGAGAGGCAAAAAGGGCACCAAAAGGTCAGATATGAACGGAAGGAGCCCTGATCCCTGACAAGAGGATGAGTATTTTACTTCCTCCCAAGACCCCCGGAGCCCACTACCAAATGACACTGCGCAGGCGTGAGCACATGGAAATGCCTTTTGAGCTCATTATAATACGAAACGGGGATAGATCATGCATATGTATAGGCGAATTTCGAAACTCGGTGAATGTGTAACATGTAACCAGATATATACCAAGCAATACCGTGCTGGGGGTGTGCACGGCTTTGAGAACTACCTCCCATAYACCCGGCGCTGCAATAAACATACCTACTTCACAACTTAAAATTATATAAGTTGCGGAGTCTTGCCCAGATCATTTTTGGATCACAACCACTACTTGTTTATTGTGACTAAGCAGCAACACACATTACACGCATTCTGAAATGGCCAGCAGCACCATGCTCTGTCTCTCTTTATGTGCAGGTTCACATAAACCACAAGCCAACCTGCTTCAGTGATGTTGCCCAGTCRGGAGAGGGCATTCACTGTATTCCACTTGTCCCAAATACAGCCTGCCTGAACATCAGGCAGAGCAGAAAGCATGTATAAGGGTAAATTAATTAAGCACTGGCAGAACTGAAAGGCAGCTAAAACCAGCTGGCTGTATTGTCACYGAAACTATGGGAAAAAGAAAACCCTCTAACACTATATTTAGAGTGATAGAGCTGCACCTCAGAAACTTCATTTCTAAAAGTATCTGTGTAAAGATGCATCAAACTTACAAATCAGGACATCTGCAGGACCTGAGTCTGCAAATCTTTTGCCCATTTAAGTTTCWGTAATGAAACCTGAGACTGAAAAAGTACTCAACAGATGGGAAACAGGGGCCTGATAAGAGATTTTTTTTTTTTAATCACGTGAGCTGCCTTGCAGAAGTTTCCACAAACATGCACGGAGATGTGGTCTGAAGGAGTTCCATAGGCTGAGGTCTCCAGTACGCTGTGAGACTGTCACCTCCAGGCAGCGGCCAGGCCGGAGATGGCCCCTGGCAGCACCGGCAGTGCGCCGGGGCAGCCACCGGGCGAGGCCTGGGGCGCCGGGCACACAAGCCACAGAGCTCCCGATTGTGCTCGGACCAGGAGGACGCCACCGATGACAATCACAGGTGAAAATGCAGGAAGGAAACCTGGACACCACTTCTGGGCGGCCCAAGACCCCGCTTCTTCCCGGCTGGGTACAGACCCACCTCAGGGCAAACAGGTGCCCCGCGGGAGCGGGCGAGACAGCGGCAGCTCCTCGGGAACTGAATCCCGACGCCCCCTCCGCGCTGCCCGCTAGGTTTCCCGCGTCCAGCCCGACGGGACCGGCCCGTTCGGTCCGCCGGGCGGGGGAGGCCGGGGGAGGTGGGAGGAGACGTGGGAAGGACTTCGGTAGCCACTACAAATCTGGTGACAGACCCGCCACCGGCACATGGCGATGGGCAGGTGGGTGAAAGGGCGGCGGCGGGGCCCGGGGCSGCCGTGGGTGATGGGCGAGTGCGCGGATATTCCTCCCGCCGCCGCGCGTTTCCCCGCACGCCCCTCCGCCGCCTGCTGCGCTCCCCGCCCGGGCGGGGGTGTGGGGCTGGCGGGGGCGGCCCCGCGCGGCACTGACGTCGCGGAGGGGCCGCTCCGACAGGGCGGCGTTCGGGGCACCCAAGATGGCGGCGGGTGAAGGGTGCGTGCGGGACCGGCGGGCGGGAGCGGGAGCGGCGCGGCGGCTCTGCCAGCCCGCCCGGGGCCGGCCTGCGGAGAGCAGGTGCCCGGCGGAGGGGAGCGCGAGGCGGGGGACAGCGGCGCCCTGCCCCGGGGAGGGACGATAGCGGCGGCGCGGTGCCTGCGGAGGGCACCTGAGGAGGCTTTTATTGCCGCGGGGGCGATCGATTACGGTGTAGGGTCGGGAGAGCCGCCGGCGGAGCGGGACCCTGGGACCGGTCTCCCACGCCGGACAGCAGGGGTTCTGCCCCCTTCCCGTCGCGCTCGTTGTGTGGCGGGGAACCCCTTCGTGGGGCCCGCTCCCTTCCACGTCCCGGGGGGGCCGGGAGGACGTCGAGGTGAGGAAGTGCACGGGGAGGAGCGGAGGGTGGCGGTGAGCGGGGCYCGCCGCTCATGGTTCCTGCCTATTGTGGCCAGAAAAGTCGCGCCATGTCGCGGTGCGCTGGGAAGCGCCGGACCTTTTGCGGGAAAGGCACCGCGGCACCGAGCCCTGGGCCAGCTTAGCCGTGGTGTCTGTACGGACAGGGGCTGTCAGAACAGGAGCTGTTAGGACAGTCAGAGATGCTCGTTTTTCTCAAGGGGAAGAACTGTCAAGTGTAAATTCAGACCAGTAAGAAACGCTGTGTTTCTCGTGCTTGTGTGGAAGTGCTTCAGTCTGTATTGTTTATCGTCAAGTCTCCGCTGCAGGAGATGCGCGGATATTTGGAGTAGTAGACATCGAATGTAAAGCTGTATCGCTGCCTGTGGTGTCCTGGGGTAAATGGCCACTTCTAGGCAGCACTGGATGTACATTCCTTAACTGGTAAAAAAAATAGACCARAAAAAGTTAAATGGCGATCTGCACAGCTCCAAAGAAAGGAGGSTGGGGGGGGGGGGGGGTTTCTTGTCAAAGKCCTTTCTGTTAGAAATCGGAAATAATTTACAACATTTCTTTTTGAAGCGCTGCTTTGAGTTGGAGTCTAAACTGTTACGGCTGCAGGACTGTACGAAAGCTGGAAGTTAGGCACATGAGTGTTTCGTTGAGTTGTTTTCTTAAAAAAAACACGTTTAAAAAAGCAATAAAGCGGTACATCTGCCTTTTAGTTAGTGTACTTGTTATCTAAAACTTTCCGTTGTTTAAGTACCCATAATTCCTTGGTTTTAGACATTCAGCAGGTACTGTGAACCTGATGAAAATCGTTTGGTAAAGGGTCATCTGATTAAAAAGCCAGAATATAAGTGGGGCACAAGTACACACACACAGGTGTATATAATTGTAGAACTATGTACTGCATTTCTAGTCTAATGCTTGAGACTTCTCATTTATGTGYCAAGCAATTAATTATGGAAGTAGTGACTAAGAGAAGAATACATCATTGAATTTATGTCTATAGTTACATTTTATGAATTTATCAGCTGCGAAAATGAAGCTTGAATTCTTAAAATCTTAAATTCTTGTTTGCAAGCTATACACATGGAAGAAAAACTTCGATTTTGCTGACTTCTAARTTATTTTGGCATCAAGTCCTTTTTTAGCTCATGAATTACCCAAAAATGTACATTTTGCCAGCCATTCTTGAGTGGAACAAAAGGAATGAGCATGTCAGTAAGGCTGAAATATGGTACAATAAAATAATCCTTTTCCAAATATCTTTGTTTCTAGCTTCTGAGACTTCGGTGTAAGAAAAGACTTTTGTATAACTCTCTGTTTTCAGAAAACCCAATGCTTTCAGTAGTACTGTTCTGTATGCTAATAGTTGTTACTTTGCTTACTACTTCAGCTCAGGTCTGTGGTTAAGAACACAGGGGGAGGCTCGATCTCTGAAGTGCTGGTCAACTAATWCAAAGTTTCTTTGTGTGTGTGCACAGAACTGAACCTCAGGAGAGAAGAATGCAGAAACTAGTGCTGRATAACTTGCTTTAGGGAATTTTAACATTGGAGCATTAGCTTACGCTATTTTATTCCAGCTGCAGTTTTCTAGTAGGTGTGGAAATGAGCATGAAGTATTTTCTCTGTTTCTTCCACCATTATCTGTCACTTCACTCCTATTTTTACTCTCAGATCTTTTGCCAAGTTTTTCTTCTAAGGTACAGTTTTAAATTTTTTTGAGTTGATGCAGTCTTAGTACTTCAAACATTGATGATTTCAGTGTGCTGCTTGACATTCATCTGAAGTTTTCTTGGTCTCACTTGTCTTGTGAGACTAAGCTTTTTTGCAGTCTTTTCGGATATTTCTGTCTTTTTGACCTAACTGCATTTTGATTTCTTCACTTTTTTTTAAAGAAAAACATATTGCCATGCTAACTTTCCTCCCCCTCCCCCTTCCACCCTGTGTCCTTTCTCCACACATCGACGTAGGTGGGAAAATGTCACGCTGGCTTGGTTGCTAGTAGGGGAGCTGGAGCTTTAGGTTTTTCCCTTCAAGGTGCTGATCTTGCGCTTTTGTAGAACTGTGTTGCTTTTGCTTGAAGAGTTTGATTGTGCAGTCCTGATTTGTACACAGGTTGTCTTTAAATCAGTGGACTGCTTTTGTCCTCAGTCCAGTATCTGCTTACACTGAGGCAGATTCAGTCTTGAGAATATTTTTAAAAGTGTGAAAAAAATAATCTCACCGTGTAATCTTAAAAGGAAGAAAAAATAAGGCACAGGCTTTACGCAGTGACTTTAAGAAATCCAGAATAGTTGACCTATCAGATTCCTCTGACTGACAACATTGCGGTGTGTGACAGCCCTGTGGGAAGGCAGGGTTTAGTGGGTTTTTTTCTGGTTTGTTGGAAAGCACTGTTAATAATACAGTGCTTTGCAGTATAATCTATTTATGTTAGCTCAAAACCACAAAGATGAGTCTTGTCACTTAAAATTCCCTGTTGGAACTGGATTTCATTATTGCAGCACATTTTACATAGGTATTACTGTTCTGAATTT